AACGTGTGCAAGAGTTTATATTTGTTACTAGCTGTTCCTCGCGACTTCGCTCTCGTGTTATTTGGATTTTATAATTTTTTTGCGCTGTACCCCAATTCTTTGTCTAAAATAAAAGAAGCCTTAGTTACTCCTTGTGACATCAGCTATCTGCAGTGAAAATCCCGTCAAAATCGGTCCAGCCGTTTAGGAGATTAGCCGGAACAAACAGACAGACAGACAGACAGACAAAAACTTTAAAAATTATATTTTTGTTATTAGTACCGTATATACTTTCATATGCATTTAGTAAAAAGCTGTAACTTTGACATTACAAACGGACACTTCAATTTTATTTATTTGTGTAGATGAAATGTGAGTGCTTTCCAATAGATTTATTTACATTAAATTAAGAATTTACCATTTAATTAAAAGCTACAACATATTGTTGAAAAACAATAATTATAAAAGTAATATTTAGGATACGCAGTTTGCAAAAAAATATTAAATTGAATAAAACTAATTTTATCGATTTTATAGCGATTAATTATACTTATTTTTAAATTCCCGAAGTTTCGGGTGCTTTTAGCACCCATGGTCACGGAGGACTGAGGTGATTGACGTAAACGTTAACCCAGAGTACCTTCAGCTTTTTAATTATTAGTTTTGGTCCGATCAACGCAGAATGAAGTTACTGTGTCTTGAAGTCTTGCAGTGGTATGCTTGGGTTTAGTTTTAATTTTATTAATTGCAGGATCCCAAGCAGGTGGTAGACCCAGCCTCCCTCTCTACTGAAATTAGGATCTTTTTTTTAATTTCACGTTAATCTTACGTATCATCCTTGGCAGGAAGCGATTATCTTTAGCGGAAATTTGGCGGAAATGTATTGGTAGGGACCGTCTAGGATATGATCACAAACTGCAGACTTTCCGGAACGTTGGTGTTTCACGTCAGCTATGTGTCCTTTTACGCGGGTTTTAATAGGTCGTTTAATTTGTCCTATGTAATGGTCCTATGTATGGTGAGTGCAGGTGGCTGGAGGTCCAATCCCCCCCCCCCATCAACATGGTAGCGGAATTACACCAAACACTACCTCAGGAGGGTACCAGCACCCCTGGAGAATCCCTCGCTGAGCATCCACGACCATATTATTCAGCTCCTGAGCGTGGGTGCTCAGGCTGCCCCGCGGATTCTAGGAGGGGGGGGGGGGGGGGCAAAATTCCGTTAAAAAACATAACTGCTCGGGTCAAACTGAGCAACAATACCAAGGCGATGCCTGCCATGCTATCCGTGAATTTCTGCAACATCAGGGGACTTCACTCGAACCTAAACGCCGTCCACTACCATATCGAGACGGCGAAGCCGGCCTTGCTCTTTCTGACCGAGACGCAGATATCCCCTGCGGCTGATATTTCGTATCTCTCCTACCTGGGGTACAAATTGGAGCACTCGTTTGTGCCCCGGGCTGGAGTTTGCGTGTATGTGAGAAAGGACATCTGTTCTCGACGCCTCGGCAGTCTTGAAGGTTCGGACCTGTCCATCCTTTAGCTACGCGTAGACAGCGACGACCATTCGCGCATCTACGGGTGCCTCTATAGGTCCCTCATCTCATCGACCATCGACTCATCGACCACGTCCAAATGGCAACAGATTCCTTGCTACAACAGGTCCCATCGGCAGAGATCGTGATCCTTGGCGATTTTAATGCCCACCACGCCGAATGGCTCGGTTCACGTTTAACCGATCATGCGGGGAGATCTGTTTATGACTTTGCCTTGGCATATGGTCTGACACAACTGGTTACTTCGCCTACGCGGATTCCAGATGTGGAAGATCATACACCTTCCTTGTTGGACCTTCTGCTGACCTAACATCCGGATGGATATAAGGTTTCCGTCGATGCCCCTCTCGGCTCTTCGGATCAATGTCTGATCCGGAGTGTGGTGCCACTCACGTTTACCTCGCGGTTGTGTTCTGCAGGTTGCCGCCATGTTTGGCATTACAGGTCGGCGGATTGGAACAGAATGCGGTCTTTCTTTGCAAGGATGCAAAATGAATGCAACCCGCCCCCATGGGTAGGAACCCATGGGGGCGGGTTTGCTTCTCGCCGGGTGATCCAAGTGCTATTGCTGACTCTGTCACTGATGTGGTGATACAGGGAATGAAACTAATTATTCCATCATCTGTGGTACCCATCGGAGGCAGATCTCAGCCTTTGTATGTTCGCTCCTGTAAGACTGCATTACGCAGTAAGCAGGAGTGTTATCAAGCCTGGGCTGCGGCTTCGGTGACTCGGGATGTAAACACTGGCGCACATAAAAAGAAGTATAAATTCGCCTCCAGGTCCTTCAAAAGAGTTATTGCCAAGGCAAAGTCAGAGCACATAGGCAGAATTGGCGAGAAACTAGTTCGCCTTCTTTCAGGAACCCGTGCATTCTGGACTATCACTAAGGCTGTCCAATGGAATTTCTGTAAGCCATCACTACCATCTCTGCACAGGGAGGACGACTCACTGTCCCAAGCCGCAAAAGACAAAGTCGACCTTTTAGGCTCCCTTTTTGCGTCCAACTCGACTCTTGATAACGGGGGGAAAATACCGCCGACTATCCCGCGGTGTGAGTGCTCCATGCCGGATGTGCTGTTCTCACAGCGCACAGTTCTCTAAGCACTCCTTTCCCTGGACATCAAGAAGTCGATTGAGCCAACCAATTGTGCTGAAGACGTGTGTTCCAGAGTTGGCACCGGTCCTAACGCGTCTTTACTCCTCCCTACTACTCCCTAGGCGTAGTACCGAAATTATGGAAGACAGCTTTTGTCTAACCTGTTCCACTATAGCCCTTTCGCCATCACCTCCTTGTTCTCCAAAATAATGGAATCCGTTATAACCTGTCATCTCATGCGGTACCTTAAGGATAACCAGCTGATTAGTGACCGCCAACACGGTTTCCGTCAGGTTCGATCAGCTGGTGATCTACCTGACCCATAGATGGGCGGAGGCAGTAGAGTCCAAGGGGGAGGCGTTGGCCATTAGTTTGGACATTGCGAAGGTTTTCAATCGGGCTTGGCACAAAGCGCTTCTTTCGAAGCTCCCTTGCTATTGGCTTCTCGAGAAATTGTGCAATTGGACCACCAGCTTCCTTGCAGATCGGAGCATCAAGGTCGCTGTAGACGGTGCATGCTCCGACTGCAAGCCTATTAACGCTGGTGTTCCACAAGGCTGTGTGCTATTACCAACGCTGTTTTTTCTGCATATCAATGATATGTTGCTAATTGGTAACATTCATTGCTATGCGGATGACAGCACTGGTGATGCTCTATACACCGGCCGTGCCAATATTTCTCGGGTAAACGTCACTGAGTACCGAAACAAACTTGTGTCTGAAGTTGAGTCTTTGCTGAACAAAGTCTCGGATTGAGGGCTACTAAATCTAGTCCAGTTTAATCACCAGAAGACACAAGTTTGCGCATTTACCGCTAAAAAGAACCCCCTTGTCGTATCTCCTCAGTTTCAAGGCACTCCCCTTCTTGCCTCAGCCAGTATCGGAATCCTTGGAGTCAACATATCGAGTGACGTGCAGTTTCGTGGTCACTTGGAAGAGAAGGCCAAATTGGCCTCTAAAAAGCCTGGCGTGCTCAGCAGAGTGGGACAGTATTTCATGCCGGCACACCGCCTACAACTTTACAAGGCGCAGGTTCGGCCTCACATGGAATACTGTTCCCATCTCTGGGCAGGGGCTCCCCAGTGCCAGGTTCTTCCACTTGACAACATCCAGCGCTGAGCGACTCGAATCGTCGACGACCGAGTCCTTTCAGATCGGCTCGATTCATTGGCGCTGCGAAGAGATGTTGCATCCCTTTGCATTTTCTTTCGCATTTACCACAGGGAGTGCTCTGAGGAGTTGTTCGGATTAATCCCAGCCGCCAAATTTCACGAACGCACATCGCGGCAGAACTTCCGATACCATCCACACCATCTGGATGATTGGCGGTCCACCACTGTGCGATTTAGAAGATGTTATCTTCCTCGCACGACTTCCTTGTGGAGTCGATTACCATCAGCGATTTTTCCGGACCGATACGACTTAGGGACCTACAAGAAAAGAGCCTACTCCTTCGTAAACGGCCGACAACGCATCTGCAATTCCCCTGGTTCCCCTGGTGTTGCAGTTGTTCATGGGCGGCGGTAGTCACTTAACATCAGGTGAGCCGCATGCTCGTTTGCCCCCTCTTCTATAAAAAAAAATTATATGATGTAACTAAAAATTAATGCTTTTCGCAATTTTTCCTTTATCGGTGCTTTAATACGTTGCTTCATACCAAATTTTAAGATTCTGAGTTCATGGGAAGTAGCCTGTAGGTTTTGATTTCCATGCGAATGTCGAAAATTTGCGGCATAAACGGCTGTATCTTTTGATTGCGTTGGCTCACAAGCTTTTTTTTTTCACAGCTCCAAGGGACACTAGACTTGAGTATTTGTTATATATTTCAGCGTGATAACTCCACGCGTTCCTGATATAAAGGGTCTTGACAGACAGACAGACGAACAACAAAGTGATCCTATAAGGGTTCCGTTTTTTTCCTTTTTAGGTACGGAACCCTATAAAAGTATAATTTAAAAAATGCGATAAAATCCGTAAAAGTAGTTTGATTCTGGGTGTGGTGTTTGCGTAATTATAAGAAATCATTATAAAATATTATATCTTAAATATGTAATAAAATTATTAGCATTTTAATAGATACTTAAGATATACTAAGACCGTTGTAATTATTTAATTTTATCCTTTTGTACTTGTACGTCAAAATTTTTACCTGTAACAAAACAGGTAAAAATTTTGACAGCTCCTTAGAAGCTTTGCCTCTGTACAGTTTCTTATCTGACTGAGCCGCGTGCGTGTCACATCTGTGTTTTATAAAATAAATTATTATATTTTATAATTTCATTTTACGTTACTATTTTTATTATGTTTGAGTAGCGTTGTTAATTAATTTGACAATTATTTAGAAGTGCGTTTTAAATTGGAAGAATGAAATGTTTATTTGTTATACTCGCATTACACCTCTATTTCTGCCACGTCTCTGCTGTGTTATTTAGATTAAATAGTAAGTATATATTTATATTTAATTAGCTGTGTCCGCGACTTCGTTCCTACAGAATCTTTGTAAGCAATTAATTTAATTTGATGTTTTAATTTGCGCCTAATTGATTAAATTTTTAAATAAGTAAAAGAATCAATCGTTACTTGCGGAAATCCATTATATTAAAGATGTTATCGATAATATCGTTTTAAGCAGATTTATGTTATAAAACATCATCTACAATATTCTTTTAAACTATATAATGGTTCTAGCACGAATGGGTCTGCGCGACCGGGGAAGGACCACGCTCTCATGGAATACCAGTGTAAAATAGCAGCTTAATGCTGCTGTTCGTATGGTGAGCGTAGAGAATCAGAAAACTTTTTCACTGGAAACGAGGCATTCCAAGTCAAAATGCAGATAAGTTGTCACCCCTGAGCGCTAAGAAGTTTATGGGCTACAGCATCCACTTATCCCACTATCAGGTGGACTGTGTGCTCGTTTGTTACTCTTATTCTATAAAAAAGATGTTATAATAATAAACAAAATCTACGACTACTATTATTATCTACTAGCGATGGTAATGTTTAACATACAACTAGCTTGCTCCGTGGCGCAGTAGCTTAGCAATGTGTTGCAGCGCTAAGGGTTGCCGGATTTAATCCCATACGAAACAATTATTTGTATGGCCTACAAACATGTTTTTCATGTCTATATGTATGTTATTGTAAAATGTATCTATTTAAAATGCCTTAACGATACAGGAAAAATCCTAGTATCGGGGTAACGTTATTTTTTTAAAAGAAGTAAAGAAAAAACTTTCTTAAAAGTTTCTTCTACAGGTTTCATCCTGTCCGATGTAAACTGATTTTCTTATTCAATATTTTTCAAAGAAAAATATAAGACTTGTTTTAAAAAATGTGGTTTTTGTTTACACACATATCGACGAAAAAGTCGGTAATCGTAAAACCTGAGCAAAAAGTCGGTAATCGTATAACTTAAATTGTATAGGAAAAATTATTTACTGTTTTTGTAGTATGATTGGGGAACGCGTTGGAATATTAAAATGATTTATATATCAAATTAAAGGTAATTGCTTATAAAATCTGATCTTGAGTATGCGCAGTGTTAAATAATTTTGGATACAAGCAATATAGGAAAATTAAAATTACTGAAAATTCATTATAATTATTGGGGTATCTATAAAGTTTTCTCATCTGGTTGGGCAGTATAAATATATAATTGTAAATTAAAATGGTAAACATACATAAATATCAATAATATAAAATAAATACATAAAAATACATAAATATATAAAAACCCAACCAGATGGAATCCCTCGGCAGGGGAGACCAGACGGCCGAGGGTTAGGAGGAAAGGGAAAGAAACCGGCGGATAATGCGGGCGGTATCGTGGAGCACCGCCTTTTGCCTTTGGCCTGGAGCGGTCCGTCACGGAGTCCCAGTCGCCTCAGATGACCCGAGAGGCTAACTGGGATTAAACCGTTCGCAGAAACGACCACAGAATTAATTTTGGTCGGCAGACCACCCCACATGTCGTTCACCTCGTGAGCCAGGTCCAGATATTTTGTCAGCTTATCTGTTTCGGCTTTCACAAGGTTCTCGTCACAAGGAATGGTAATGTCGACCAAAAATATCCTTGACTGTGCCCGGTCCATCAGCAAAATAGGCTTATTCACAAGAATAATCCTGACTGTGATGATGGCCCGGTCCCAGTAGAGCCTGGCGCGGTCATTTTCGAGCACGGCTTCCGACAATACTTATAATATGGCACTTTCCGATCCACGAGATCGTATTTCAGAGCGAGCTCCTGGTATAGAATCCTGGCTACTAAGTTGTGCCTGGGGAAATACTCAGAGTTAGAAAGCGCCGAATAACCGGAGATGACTTGCCTAAGTGACTCACCGGGATGGTGACAAGCTCGACAGATGTTGACGGTGTCATCCTTTAGGATGTATTTCCGATAATTGTTGGTCTTAATAACCTGATCCTGTATCGCATAGACAAAACCCTCGGCTTCCCCAAAGAGGTCACTGAAACGTAGCCAGTGGAAGGAGGCGACTGTGTCTACGAAAGGCTCATGTAGAGTCTTGTAGAACCTCCCGTGGAGCTCCTTCTCCTTCCATACGGTCTCCCGGTCGGAAATGCTCTGTACTGCCGGGTCTTGCCATTGCTCGTTGGCTAAGGATAGAGGAGTAAGCCCTTTATCATACGAAATGACGTCCCTATAGAATGGATCACCCGATCTCACCAGAAGGTAATTACGGAGGCTGCACACTTCATGATTATGCACGGTGAGAGCGCTCAAAAAGCCGCGCCCACCATGTTTCCGCGGCAAGTACAGCCTCATTACTGACGATCTTGGGAGATGCATCCTGTGAGACGTCATAACAGTGCGGACTTTTCTATCCAGAGCATTCAGTTCGGTCTGAGGCCACCTGAGTATGCTGAAGGTATATATGAGGAGAGGCATAAACCAACCATTATATGCGTGTGTCTTATTCACACCCGACAAAAGACTATTGAGCACTTTTGTCAAGCGTGCATAAAACACATCGCAAACTGACGGTTTCATATCCGCCTCATCGATACCTATGTTCTGTGACATACCCAAGTATCGGTATGTTTCAGCCTCGGATAGGGTCCTGATGTTGATGTTTCATAAATAAGTCTCTGCCCTCAGAGTTTGCAACCCTTTAGACATGGAGAACCACACCTTTATCCGTCCCAAGCTCAATTCTAATAGAATTGCAAAAATCACGAGTGATGTTTAGCAATTCCATAAGATGGAAGCGACTGGTGGCGAATAACTTGAGATCATCGATATAAAAAAGTAGTTCAAAAAGTTATTATTATTATTAAACCCAAACATATTACTACAAGTCTTCGAGATACTTTATTTTTTCTGCGTAAATCGGAGCAAAAATAAATAATTAAAAGTTGAAAGTTGCCTTCGTTAACTGTGACATCAGGACATCAAATATCTCAGAACCCCCCTGAACATAAATGCTTTAAAGTTCCCGAAATGTTGCGAATTAAAAACTCTTGATTTGGCCCATTTTTAATATATCGCCAATTTGGTCGATAAACTTTCGCCTAGGGCGACCCTTATCGAGTATGCCGTTCACCTCTGCAACATAAATTTGCTTTGTCACTCTTTCCTCGTTCATTCTTTCTACATGGCCAAACCACCGAAGCATTCCTTTCTTAATCCTGGCCACAACATCATCTTGCAAACCACACTCTTCTCTTATTAAACAATTTCTCACTCTGTCATTCAGATTCATCCCTAACATACTCCTTAATGACCGCATTTCTACAGCATTTATTCTACTCTCGTGCTTCTTCTGCCACACCCAACTTTCACTACCATACATTAAAGTAGGTACACATGATCAGTGCCGGATTATCCACGTAGCAAGAGTAGCAATTGCTACGGGCCCCGCGCAGAAGGGGGCCACGCCTATCCAAACCAGCCCATCACTGCCTAAGCGTAATTTTTTCAGTAAAACTTAATAAGACATGGTTTACTGAATTTACTTGATGTCACAAAAACGAAAAATGTTACACCTTTGTAAAGTAATAGTATTATATGAGTCACTACTCACTAGTTAAAACAATTATTTTTATGTGGAATCTAGAATAAGTTCCTGTAAAAGTTTGCTATAATATTTGAATATCAATAAGTGTGTGATATATTTATAACATATCGCTTCTGCCTTGCTCTTGTACCACACAACTAATCTTTTATTAAATATAGCCATAATGTTATTGAACCATTTGTCGGATTTTTTACTTAACTAATTGTTTTACGTCTACCCACTTTACATCGTTTATGAATCGTCGTATAAAATGTGTTTTTTATGATTTTGTTATTCTATTTCGAATGTATTAAAAGGGGAGAGCTTAGCAGCTGTAACACAGGTCTGTGACCTAGCACAGTTGCTAAAGATACCATAATTATAGTATTGAATTGGATTAAGTCATCTAAATCTAAACTACTATTATAAAGAGGAAAGATTTGTTTGTTTGTTTGTTTGAATTGAATAGGCTCCGAAACTACTGGACCGATTTGAAAAATTCTTTCACCATTAGAATCCTACATTATCCCTGATGAACATAGGCTATATAATATTTTCAAAAAAGTTAGAGATCCGTATGAAAACTTCGTTAATGTAACCCAAGGTGTGAAGAAAATACCAAAAAGAATCCTTATATCGCGTATTCTTCGGAAACTATTGATAATAGAGCAAAGTAATGTACTTCACTTTTATAGAGGATATTAATCTCTACAAAAAAGTCTGCGATACCATATGTTTAACTATTACAGTTATGTCATAATAACTACTTTTTCATGTTAAAATGTGAAATAGTAACTCCGGTACAAATACTACTAATACGAGTACGTACTGATACGAATAATGTGGCCTAGACATTATTCGTATCAGTACCTGTATCACGCATCTACATCTACATCTACACTACTATTATAAAGAGGAAAGATTTGTTTGTTTGTTTGTTTGTTTGAATTGAATAGGCTCCGAAACTACTGGACCGATTTGAAAAACTCTTTCACCATTAGAATCCTACATTATCCCTGATGAACATAGGCTATGTAATAGTTTCAAAAAAGTTAGGGATCCGTATGAAAACTTCGTTAATGTAACCCAAGGTGTGAAGAAAATACCAAAAAGAATCCTTATATCGCGTACGCTTCGGAAACTATTGATAATAGAGCAAAGTAATGTACTTCACTTTTATAGAGGATATTAATCTCTACAAAAAAGTCTGCGATACCATATGTTTAACTATTACAGTTATGTCACAATAACTACTTTTTCATGTTAAAATGTGAAATAGTAACGCCGGTACAAATACTACTAATACGAATACGTACTGATACGAATAATGTGGCCTAGACTTTATTCGTATCAGTACCTGTATCATGCATAACCACCAATTACGTTAACCATGTAATTTTAGTAACATATTTCACTTTTTTAA